CTCTATCCCTATTAAATAACCTAAAATTCACATATATCAAAGTATTCTATCCCTATTAAATAACCTAAAATCACATATATCAGCTATTCTCATTACATCCCTTCCAGTGCTCACAAAGTCATCTATTACATTTTTTATACTTCTAGCAATACAATAATAACAATTTAACCGACCCTAAAACCTTCTGTATTTTGTTTCTACACTACACTTTTCCCCACATCTTGTTTTTCCTGGACATTACCATTTTCTAGTCCTGGTTTAAAGCTGCCCTTAGAGCTGAATTAATAGCCCATCCTAACAAGCCAGCTACTATCCTACTTAAATATAAATCATCCATTCCATTGAGTTGATCCCCCAAATCCAAACATCTAGTTTGTTCATCTTTACCTATCACTGAATGAAGCAAGATTACTTAACTATTCTGACATTTTATGACATCAAGATCATACAAAATTTCAATTAATATGGAAATAATGTAACCTGTGGGTATATTAAGGTGCATTTAACAGTGCCCAAGCAGCTTTTTTTATGTGCCATGAATGCATGCGTCACAATTTTACAAAGGGAAATAGATGGCTACTGAATTGTCATTAGGCTATATTACTGATAGTAGTATTTAACATGTACATCTATCATGTTAACATATCATTAACTTCTGATCAAAGCAAAATTAACCCAGTAATCAATATAGCTAGCTTAATACACTGGTCTAATTAGAAGTATGGAGTGTCATAAAACAAAAACTTCTGATCAGAATGCATTGATGCAAAAGCTTCAATCATTCTGACAAATATAAAAATATATATAACAAAAGTGATGTTCTTTTGTACATGACTTAATAATTTTAATGAACAAAGGTAAAATGAGCAGTAACTGCCTAGTTAAGAATGACACTTATAGGGATAGTCTCAAACAATTTACAAAAAAAACTAATGTAGAAAATATGTCATTCAGATCAGTGTGCACCAGTTTCTGCAGGGGTTTATATGGTAACTTGGAGGATTTAAGTAGAAGCGATGTGATTGGCTGGTGGTTCTTGTAATGTGGTTGGTAGAACAAGATGAATTTACCACCGATAACCACAAACTGTTAACTTCCAGGCCCGAGTCTCTATTTAGCAATGTTTTTTTGGTATTGAAGTAGAAAGATTCTTTGATTTTTCTAGTTTCCATAAATTACTTGAATCTATGTGTCTGTAATACCCCAACTACTTTTCTAGCTCAGTTCTCCAAGGAATTATGAACAAATAATTGCTGCCCATTTCATCTTTGTTCAAAAATAATGTTCTTAATTTCTTAACATACGAATCATTGACAGGCTTTAACTGATCATTTATGTCTGTAGTTGGGTTACATTTAGGCCTAACATTGGATCTAATTACCACATTTTCTTCACTCTTAAAACATTAAGGATTTGTATTATCTAAATTTGCTGTATTTATTCATTTACACTTATAACCATAAAAAATATAATCTGTTTAAATCAAAACAGCTTCTCACCAAAGCAAATACAGAAAATTAATAAATCAAGTGCAGTTACACAGTGCTCAAGTAATTTTTAGTTTTGGTTACATTATTGTTAACATTTAATAAAGATACACCCTAATCTACTTATGCACAATCAACAGCTGTGGTACAACCAGTTAACAGGTTTGTTTGGTAATAAGTTAAGGATCATTAAACCACTCGATTGATTAATGTTTTTTAAGTACTCAATTTAAAAACTTTATTCTGAGACCATTGATCATTTGACTTTCGATTATCTATTTACACGAGTACCTTGAATTTTAGCCTTTTAATATTAATAAGTTAAGGATCCACTCATACTGAAGCAAAAAATTATTTTTATTACACATTTTTAAAACTAAAACTTGTATTTTGCAGTTACTTAAAACCTGTGTTAAAAAGCCAAATTTAATGGGACCCATACAAGAACAATGATAAGTTTTTTATGAAGCAGTTTTCCCTAAGAATGTGGGTATAGGAACATTTATCATACCGGGTGATGCCTTGAAGATTTAGATAAAGGCTTGTTTTGAGGTATAGTTATTTTTCATATACCAAGTATTTCTGGAAGGATTTTTGTAATGAGGCAGTGAATGTTGTTTATTAATTATAGTAGGTTTGAAAAGTAACTGGATATTTGGTACAAAAATAATTAGTCTAACCTCTTGATTTTCTTTCAGTCAAACCTAAAACAATTTTGTCTCATGAACTTCAATTCACATTTTACTTCTTTTGAAAGTAAAACTTGTTTTTTCAGAAATCCCTTCTTGTTTTCTGTGGCCAAAATCAGCATCAAATCTTAAGATAATTCTCTTTAAACCATTTTGAAACACAGAGAGACCTGGATGTGATAGTGTATATTATGTGAAAACCATTCTGTAGACACTTGTGTGAGAAATGACGGTCACATCTACATTACATATGCAGCTGAAAGATCCATAAGAATTGAGCTAAGTCACATAACTCAATGGTTAAGCACATAGTAACATCGCTGACACCTCTGATAAAGAGGAAATGTTTTGCACAATCATGTTTTTAACGTAAAGTAGTTGGCGTGATTAAATACTTTCATAATTTGTTTTTATCGGGTATTTTTATTATTATGGTAGTAAATTACTTATGCAGTACCATATTACACTTATTGTGAATGAAATGGATATAAGCACACCAATTACGTTTAACTGGGCAAACACAACCACCAGCTTCAACTAATTCAATAACTACGATTCAAGGTAAAGAAAAATGTCAAATATGTGAATCTTGAAAAAATTTACTTCTTTAGCACTACACATTTTCACTAGCATAATCACTTTTGTTACTTCATCAGTTTAATAGTCGTACAAAATACAATGAAGTTGACTAGAAAAACATAACATTTTGTTCATGCTCATATTAACTAGTTATCATACTCAGTCATACTAATACTAGTAATAGTTCACCTGGTCATTGAACTGAAACGTTAGGCTTAGCTTACCTTTATCACTGATGGGCCTAAAATTTTGTAAAACGTTAGTATATGGAATTTAAGAATTCATCCACATGAAACTTAAACCCATTTAAGTCAGGTGTAATTAAACTTATTTACTGGTATTAACAATCTACAATCAACTTTTCTTAAGTTTGATAACTTAAATATTAATACTATGAAATTGAAAAGTACAGTAGTAATACTAATACTAACAATTTCAGTATTAGAAAGTGTAAAACTGTAATTTTAAAGTGTAATTTTAACTGTAAAGTGTAATACTAAAACCGATTAGGCTAAGTTCTCCCGGTTGCATTTTCAATTTCATCTAGAAATTGTGTAACCTATGAAATTTGTCATAAACTAATAGTAATAATAATATAGTATAATGCTATTAATAGTGGTATTACTTAAAGATAAATTTAAGATATTAAAATTCAAACGTTTCTAGTAATAGTAGTACTTATAAGTATAACCAAAGCTCCTAAACCTACCGTGGATTGACAAAAAAAATTCATTAACATCTACCCGAGGACTGGACGAAAGCATCCGGGGAGTGTCTTGCCTAAGGCTATAACGATAGGAACTTGCTTAGTATTGCGAATTTTTTAACGTAGCCTGTCGTAGGCAAATAATTTAGAAATCTAAAACATTAACAATACTTACAACCTTCTTCCCTTTATTGTTTCTCGTTAATGAAAGTTACGTTGATCATAAAAATCCACTCATCGCTTCGCGAGTATGCAAACTCAAATAAAATAACATAAAGTTTCATAAATTACTCTAATAGCTAAAGGCATAAATGACATGGCGTATGGAACAGGTTATCCACGGTAGGAACAAGAAAACCCGCTTCTGCGCAGACATTTTTTGTCCCTTTCATACAGCCAACCGCTACATTAGTAAAATGACTCATTCATGACGTCATAATTAGTTCTGCAGTTTTCAATATATACTATTGGTGTATATATATTTCCACACAGAATTTTAAAACGTGTTTATCGTGTTATATAACATATTTCTACAATTATTTCTCAGTGGTACACAGAAAATAAAAGTAAAATGAAAAAGTCACCATAGATTTCAAACGTTTTCTCAATATTCGAAGATGGAATTTAAGAAAAGAATAACTTAATTATACGTCAATTTATATCGTATTTTTAATTTGTGTGTGTATGTGTTATCTACCGCAAAGCTACACAATAGGCTATCTGACCTCTAACCGCCGCGCGTAATCAAATCCTAGATATTAGTGTTATAAGTCCATTAACTTACCGGGCGATATCGCCGTAGGAAATCACGGCTAGTTTCTAACACATTTTTAGGTATAACATCATGACAATAGCATTTTTACTAATATATATACGTTTTTTTATTATTTAAAACTTATCAATTCTTGTCGCAGAATCCAAATAGTACCACACATGCAAATGGAGAGATGAGAATAATATAAATGAAGAATATTAAAATTGTTAGTAAACACTTTGATATTACAAATTATATATTTATAATATTTTCCTAGCTTCTAAATTACATTCAGGAAATACAAGGATAGAGGACATTGTAAAAGTAATGAGCCTTTCTGTAGTGCAAGAGACCAAGCACTAGGATATTACAACACAACAAAATGTAAGTTAGAGAAGTAATTCAAATATGTATGTGACCAAAGATTACAGCTTATGTTAAATGTTATTACTGGTACCAGTGTAATTAATGATACACTTAATTACTGTATGCTTCAGTCATATATCGTACATTATGTATTGTTTTCAAATAATTTGACTGATTGATTTTACATGGAGACCATCTAGTTGTTGTTAAGCGCAAAGCTATATACAATGGGCTGTCCCTAAAAAGGTCAGTTGCAAAACTGAGGGCTCACATCGCTTAAAACCGGGTTTCAGTACCCGTGGTGGGCACAGCACAAATGGCCCATTGTTTAGCTTTGCGCTTAACAACAAAAAACACAATGGGCTATCTGTGCTCTGCCCACTACGGGTATCCAAACCCAATTTTAACGTCGTAAACCCAGCTAGAAACTACTATAATATCTCTCTCCCTCTTCTTGATGCTTCGTTGCCCTCTATATATAATCTACCCTCAAATGTACTGGAAAATCTTTAGAACTTTTTACGCCCGTATCATTATTAAACTTTTCGATTCTAACATCATCAGTACGACTCTCAGCTCCCTCTAGCTAACAAACAATTTACATTAAAAATACAGCTTGCAACAATATCACGGCCATCAGTTTATGCAATTATGTGGTATGAAACAGTGTATTATAACATATTTGTGCTGGGTCTGTTATATACAAAATTATGTGGTATGAAACAGTGTATTATAACATATTTGTGCAGGGTCTGTTATATACAAAATGTCCTAATACTTCGAATGATACTGATCATTTTACATATTACGAACAAACATCAAATACTTTATGAATATGACATTAAAAACTTACTGCTTAGAGAGGTATGATTTTTTTTTTCCATTTAGTTGTAAATATCTTTTCTTCACCAAACCGTGAATTTCAATAAAGAAAAGGTTGAACGCAGAAACCTAATCTATTCTTTGATTCACTATTTCCGTTGCAGTAGACTAGTTTCGCTGAAGTCACAGCTCATTAATGTTGGTTGAAAGAACAAGGGAAATGATTTTTTTATTTTGACGACATTTCATTCCAGAGCCAACAGAGGGTTACGCCCTTTCAGTGGCCAGGACATGTAGAAGTACGTAGTGGAAAGAAGCAACGAGAGATGAATGAGTGAGAACAGGTACTGAGATGGTGAAGACGAGTTTAATGCACGCTATTAAGAAAAGTAATCAGAGATAGATATGTGGTGGAAGATCAGGCATCGGAGTTGCATTGTAGTCGAGATGATCAGGTAACAAAGGCATGAGGTAGAGGTTCAGGAGATGACCCGTCGGAGGTAAGAATTTGGGAGAGGTATTCACCGAATTGGATAGTATTTAGTCGTAAATAAGGTTGTGATGATCGAATCAGCGGTTAACATACTTCACACGTAGTTTGCATAGATGTGCGAGTATGGGGGGGGAGTATAATTTCTGTGTAGGAATGGAACGACTTAATTGAAAGGCTAGGCATAAAGCGTGGTCTTCCAAAACTTCCAGCCGATGATAGAGTGAAGATGGAGCAGATATCCAGGCAACATGACCATAGGTGGGGCAGTGTCGGACAAAAGCTTGGTAGGAATATAAAAGGAGTTGGGGATTTAAGTCCCAGGATGAACCACGGAGACGGCGAATTAAATTAAGCCTGGAATTAACCTTCATGTGTAGGATGGCTAGGTGTGCTTTCCAGGTGAGATGGCAATCAAAGGTAACTCCAAGATATTTAACTGTATTGGATAGGGTAATAGGAATGTTGTCAAGTCGGACATCGAACAGATATGAAGAGCGGCATGGATGAAACTTGTGGTGAGTCATCCCAAATAGAATAGCTTTGGTTTTATGAGGGTGAATCCTGCAGTGTCTGCACCAGAAAAGAAAAGAGTTGACGACTTTGTTGAGGGTGACCACTGTAGAACAAAGGGCAAGGAAAGCTGTGTCATCAGCGTATTGAAAAAGGCAAATTGGTGCCGGGGAACTGGCATTTCAGCAACATACAGGGTGTACAGTAGAGGAGAAATGACGGATCCCTGTGGAACGCCAGCACGTATGAAGAATGAATACCATGGACGGAAATGGTAGCTCGGTGATCCCGGAGAAAGGAAAAATAAGTCTAATGTAGGAAGCAGGAAAAGACAGGCGTTGAAGTTTGTAGATCAGCCTCCGTGGCAAACAGAATCAAAGGCTCTTTCAAAGTCAAATAGAACGAGGTATGAAGGTTTAGAGGTGTTGAAGTGGTTTGTAATTAAATTAGAGAGCTTGAGAAGCTGATCTGCAGTGGAGAGATGAGGGCGGAAACCTGCCAGGGTATGTGGAAGCAACAGATTGACTGCAATGAAAGAGTGGAGATGACGAACAAGGATGCATTCAAAAGTCTTGCTTAAGACACTGGTTAAACTGATGACCCTATAGGAATCTAGTTGAACTAGTGGTTTGGATGGTTTCGGGAAAAGAAGTATGGTTGATAACTTCCAACTGGTAGGGAAGAAACCTGTGCAAAGTAGAAAACTGTAGAATAAGGCCAATGGGGTAATAAACCGAGCAGATGCATTAGAGAGATGGGAATACGTTTGATCATCTGGACCTGGGGCTGAGTTGCGACGATAACATAAGGCAAGTCGGACATCTTGAACAGTAATTGGAGCACACAGGGAGTTGGTTTACAGAACATGGGTGAGAGAGGAGCGAAGAGTCAGAGAAGTATGATGAGGCACTCATAAGATGTCAGAGCAATCATCAAAGTTAAGGGGATGTGGTGGTGGAGGATTAAACTGCGACTCAAAATGGTGTGCAAAAGCATTGGCCTTGAGGAGCGTGGTAGCAGGAACCTGACCATCCACAAGTATAGAAAGATGAGCAATACTGGCCAGTGAGGATGCAAAACTGAGTCCAAAACTGAGAGGAGGAAGGGGAATGACGAAGTCTGTTGCACAGGTAAGGCTAACGGCGACATTTAATAGCTTGAATGAAATTTCTGGCTGTGCGTTGGAGACTTCTGGATTGGTGTAAAACAAGTGGATCATGAGAATGGTGATAGTCCTGGAGGAGTGAGGAGGCACGGCGAAAAAGTGTGATGGCTCGTTGGAGGAACGAAAAGTATATGACAGCAAAGAGGGGATTTAACGAGCACCTGCAAAGGAAAGAGCTGATGTCAGGGAATGTTCAAAGGCATCAACACTTGTAACAGTGGTGGGGTCAAGGTCTGTAATCATTCCAGTCTGCGTTATGAAAATAATAGTGGAGTCGTCGGTAGGGTGGTGACACGGGAGAGGAGCGATCAGCAATACGAACACATATGGGTAGATGATCGTTGTCAACAGGACAACGTAAGGAAACTGACAGTAGGGAAGAAACTGGGGTAGAGACAATAACGACATCTGGAGCAGTGTTGGAAGGGAAATAAGTAATCCAGGCTTTATATAGTGGTGTAATGTGAATAGTTTGTTTGGTCTCGATGTTTGTTTGGCCCTTTACTAACCAGTAATAATCCGAAATAACTTTAGTGTTTGGAGAACATGTGAAATATCATAATTAATTATTCATTATTGTTTAGCGTTATTAGTAGTGGATTAAATATTATTCATCAAAACTTTTATTTTCTTATGAAGTGACGTCTCAACCGTCCATTATGGGCGTACAGTATAAATCTGTTTCGTCAATCTAGACGCATGTTTCTAAACACCCCCGATTACATTCAGCTCTGAGGTCTTTCCGATCTTGAGGCTGAATGGTTGAAATCGAAATACTTGCCGAGGTAAAGGTAAAGACTTAATTTAAAATTCAGAAACCGTTTTCTCTCAACTGGAAACCTGATAAAGTGTTTTTATGTGAAATGTTGTCTTCATATTCGTGAGTGAAATTATTTTAAGTTTGTGAATGTTTCACCTTGTTTTTGTTCCACATTTAGTAGTTTCCTCGTCTTGTACAATTCGTTTATTAACAGAAACAATCAGTTTACAATCTATTCATACAAAAGTCATTTTCACATTTAAGTTTAATAACAAATTTTAAGTGTGGATATATTGATGTTTCAATTGGTTGTTATTTGGTCATGTGACCTGGAAGGATCAGGTGCACCTGGACCTATTTCTTCCCCCTTAACTATTGATTTGGTTCTTGAGTGTTGGATGAATTTTATGTGAAAATAGGATTAGTGCTATATGTTTTCAATTGATATTTATGGGATGTTTATGTGAACAAAACTTTATGTTGACA